CTCACTCACAGGGACTTGTATGACGGACGCTCCACATACGCTGAATAAAATGTGTAGCTGTGGATACGGTGACGTTTTCTGTAAGGAAATTTAACATTTATTTAACATTTATGGAAGGAGTCTCCAGTGTCAGCGCTTTGCAACAGTCAGAGGTAAGGCTGTAACATTAAGTTTTCCGACATCTTCAGGACAGAGCAGTTTACGCTTCTTTGTGGTAGTTTATGACTGTTTATAGCTGCTATAATGTAAGTGAGAACAGGAACTAACTTGTTCCACTACATTAAATGTAACTACAAACAGATAAAAAGTACTATATTTCATTTTTTAATTAATCAAAAAATGCAAAATTGGCAAATTGCTCTGGCATAAGAGGAATAAAACACTTCAGAACATGCCGCTATAGGAAAAATAATCAGCTTCAGAGTGGTTTATTTTAGTGTTTTCTTCCATACTTATTCAAATTCATATCGATATTAGTGTAATCCTGTCAGCACATTTCCATACACACACATGTTGGAGCTCTGGGTGTTGCAGTCAACTATAGTGCTCTTTCAGTTCGGATTGTGATGCACTTCTCTCCCAGCCCTGCTGATAAAAAAAAAAAAAAAACTAAAACAAAAAAAAAAAACTAGGAGATAATGCTACAGTCATTAATTCCCCAGGATGACACTCTTTCTGGAGGACCTATCTGACAGGTCAAACGCATTGCACTTCAGAAAGTACGTCCAGCCTGCTCACAAATTGATCTGAATCTGCCTTTTAGTCTGCTGTGGCCACATTAATATTTCCTGCAGCAAGTGTTTCCCCGGCAAAGTAAATACCAAATGTCTGTCTGAAACAGAGAGATGACCTTGGGAAATATCCGTAGCGAGGTGAGGAAGAATTTTGGATGTGTATGGAAGTGTTTCAGATGGCTATCGGCTCTGACAATCCAAGATTAAATGGAGGAAAATGATGACGTCATTGAACTCGCCACAGATCATTGGCTGATAGGGCCACTGAAGAAGTCCTCCACTAATGCCATTAAACATGCAGATTAAAGGAAAAGTTTGTGAGGCATTTTAAATTTATGAATCATTAATGCATAAAACGTCCTAAAATGTCTAATCTAACAGAACACACATACACACCCAATATTTTGGAAAAAATATTTCAAGAATAAAGGACATACTGTAGATGGTTTGTGTTCATAGTTGCAGTCTTAAGTTCAAAAGTTACTCCAATATTTACGCAGGAACAGTTACGTGTATTCAGAGTCAGGTTATGCAGCTGCTTAAGTTGATTTTCTGGGTGTGGCCTTCAGATTATTAAAATCACCCACATGCCTCTGAGGTTGTCAGATTCAATAGTGTCTAGACCACCACCTTTAACCGTCTAGACCACCGCCTTTACACACCATTACTTGCATTCAAACTTGATAAACATAAGGGATAGAAAATGCAGAGTGAAGAAGGAAATGGTGTTTTAATATAGAATAGTAAATAGTATTTTTTATGATGTAACATAAAACGTAAAAATGTAAAATGAAAAACAACGAATTTGATGATATATGATTGAGAAGATGCTGAAAATTGAACCAAGTCTAATAGGAGTCTAGTATATCGCCAATATACTGCTGCATGAATAGTCCTAGTTGTAATTATCAGGTTAATCACTGGTTTTATTTAACAAGATGGCTTTCACACTCATTACTCAGCAGCACATAGAATAGCACTTGATCCAGCACATTCTGGTTTTCATCTCCTCCACTCCGACAGTTACTTGTACACACTTAATGAAGCCACGAGATACTAAATGAAGGTCGTGAAATCATAATGGGTGTGCAGGATATAATCTATTTGATCACACTTTTAATTTTAATTTTAAGTTGCTGAATATAAAACAAAGTCAATGTTTTTTGTTCAGTCGATGCAGTCTCCTTTGAAGAAAACATGCCCCAGTTTGTGGTGCTGTCACTTCAGGTGTGTGTTAGATCAAAGAGATTTCAAAGAACATCAAAAGATTTCGGTTGTCAGACTTGGAAGGGTAACGAAAGGATTCCTAAAGACTCGGGTCTCCATCACTTCCCATTCAGACACAGAAGGACAAGGACATCCTGTAAACTCTACACCAAGTCACTACTGCAGAGTGACAGCTAAAGAGTTGTATCTCTTCTGTTTGATTTCCTTTAGGAATAATGCTGAAAAAAATAAACAAAACAAAGTAACTTTACATATTAGCATTATTAACAGAATTCCCATACAATAATGATCAACAAATGATAAACGTCAGCATTGATGCATCATTAGTAATATTAACAAAGCAAAAAAAAAACATTTGTTGTAATTAATGGGAAATAAAATCCAAATAAATCCCTAACTTGAACCTTTTCTTCCATCAATGAGTAAAAATAAGATGAGAAATATGACTGATGTCTTAATTAATCTGTTCGTGTTGCTTAACTGGCAAAATTTATATGTGAGGCTGAATGGTGGGTGCCAATATTTATACCCAGAGACCTGAGTTCACTTGTTTTTCTACTAGCTAATCTATTAAGTAACATGCTGGAAATTAAATCATGCTAGTCATGGAGAAAATAGGCGTGTCATATTTAATATTTATTTTTTTACATTTATTTTGTTGACTTATAACTCATAAAATCTATTATTCCCATATGAGTTTGTTACGTTGTTACCATGGTTACTAATGGTTTATGGGGAACTGTAAACCAAACGCATTATCCCTCCATTCGAATCCAAACAAATCCCTTATTCTGATATTTGCTTTGTTGAATTAGCAATTTAATTCATAATCAAGGTTATTTGATTACCAAAATTTAATAAAATGTTAAATTATGTAAATTGATTTATGCTAATATAGCTGGACTTATTGTTAGTTATGGATAAAATAAATGTTAATTAATGTAGATGTAATTTGGTTAAAATGTAAGCAAACCTCAAATAATGCATGTTTGTTAGATAACACTTCATTAAAAATAAAAGATTCTTTAATGATTCTTTAATGGTTCATTGGATAATTAAGGGTTCTTCGTTCTAATAGGAAAACATTTTGTTTTAGGGTTCTACATAATGTTTTAAGAGTGTACTGCTTCTGGAAATGTTCAGGTTAATTAACGATCAGTAAAATAGCAGTAACACACTGACTGGGCTCTCAATTCACGTTCTCGACAAAGGACATAAAAAATAATGACTCGTAAATGACAGCTGTTAATTGTGTTCAGCGTACAGTATAAAGCTTTATTTTACAGTACTGGAGTGTTCCTGTACGTCAGGGGAAAAATACCAAGTACCAAAAACAGCCGAACTCAATTACACTAAAAGCAGAGGTTTCGGGTATTAAAGGAGATTTTACAAAAAAAATTAAGCAAATGGTGCGTAAACAGGAAATTCAGATAAAGCTAAATTTCCTATGAGGGTTTCTTAAACCAGTGGTTCTCAAAATGGGGTTTATGAAGCACAGCCAGGGAATGTGGGATTTTTTTTTTTGTTACAGAATACAAATCACAAGCCATTACCCAAGTTATTATATTTATTATTTATTTCTTATAGTGACTGACTGGTTCGATTGATTCCTTGAGTTTAATCTAAACCTCAATAACTCAAAAACAGGTCAATCTGTAAATAATGTCAGTCTGGATCCAGTGTATCTGTTCTATCTGTGCTGAGAGGATCTGTGGAATTTATTTTACAGTAATGAACCCCTGCCTTAAACATCCAGTCAACAACCGAGAGCTAGTCATTGTCGTCAAGACTGACTCATGACTGCATTGCAATAGCATCATAAAGTTCACAGTTGACACCACAGTTGTGGGACTCATCAGTTACAATGATGAGACAGCATACAGGGACGAGGTGAACCAACTCATAGCCTGGTGTGATTCCAACAATCTCTCCCTGAATGTCAACAAGACAAAAGAGATGATTGTTGACATCAGATGCACCAAAGCTCCTCATCAGCCATTATTCATCAATGGCACGGAGGTTGAAACAATGCAGAACTTCAAATTCCTGGGCCTGCACATTTCCAACGAACTGACATGGTCACTGAACACCTCCTCCTTAGTTAAGAAGGCCCAACAGCACCTGTATTTTCTAAGGAGGATGAAGAGAGCTGGCATGCCTCCCTCCATCCTTACTGGTTCCTACAGATGTGTCATTGAGAGTGTACTCACCAGCTGTATCACCGTCTGGTATGGAAACTTCTCGGCAGCTGACAGGAAAGCCCTGCGGCGGGTAGTGAAGACGGCACAGCGCATCGCTGGTGCCAACCTTCCTGCCACTGAGGACGTTTACATCACAAGGAGTGTGAGGAAGGCAACCTCCATCAAGAAGGATCCTGAGAGCACCCATCCTACAATTGGTTTAAATCCCCCCATCCGGGAAGAGGCGAAGAAGTATTCAGGCCAGAACGTCCAGACTCAGGAACAGTTTCTTCCCGCAAGCAGTAAGACATTGCTGAACAGCAATGTCTAACTGTGAACACAGCTGTGAACTGTGAAAGTTAGAAGTCTTCTATTTACGTTAAAGTACCTGTTTTTTTTTTTTTACTGCATTCCTTTTACTGGAATTATTTCAGTTACATTATTTTGATGATCAGTTTGTAGAGACGTCTGTGACTGCACACGGCGTGAATGTCTCCGTCTGCTCTCTTCGCCAGTGCCTCGCCACTTTGGGGGCGTGTCTACCTACAAACCAGGACGGGAATGAACCTGTCAATCATGAAGTCATAGATTTCAAATAAATTATCTCCTTATTCAAGTAAGATACGCTTGTTAACTTAGTTAAGTGTCACAGACTTTAAATTAAAAGTTGAAATGAAGTTAAAATATTCCATCTTTTTTTTTGTCTATTTACAGCATTGAATGATACATTCCCTCTTAAAAAATATACTCATCTATATGATTAAATGCACAATATTAGCCACAACACGTATCGGAAGGAGGAGGATTGTCAGAACTATACGTACTTGATCTTTATATATTATATGAGGGCGCTATAGCGGGCAGTGGTGGCTCAATGGTTAAGGCTCTGGACTACTGATCAGAAAGTTGAGGGTTCAAGCCCCAGCACTACCAAACTGCCAGCTTTGGGCCCTTGAGCAAGGCCCTGAACCCTCTCTGCTCCAGGAGAGCTGCAACATGGCTGACCCTGTGCTCTGACCCCAGCTTTCTAACAAGCTGGGATATGTGAAGATAAGAATTTCACTATGCTATAAGGTATATGTTACAAATAAAGGCTTCTTCTATATGTTATAGCTGTGTACTGTTTTTTTTTTTTTTGGTTTTGTTTTTAGAGTGCACATTGAAGCAGGAATGCGTGTCATTGGATGTTGCTGGAAATAGCCAGCTAGCTTTCTTGGCCAATTAAAAGATGCGCTATGCAATGATTGGCGTTTCCATTTGAAAATTTGAAATTCTCCTTCTTCTGAGTGAGAAGTAAAGATTGTCAGTGCTGCAGAAAGGAATGGAGTGAAAGTAGGATATTTTGCAAAAATGAAAATGCTTAATAAAGTACAGATACTGTTGTGGGTTTCCTCTGGGTTCTCCAGTTTCCTCCCATCTCCAAAAACATGGCAATAGATGAATTGGCTACGCTAGGTGTGAATGAGAAGTGTGAATGGGTGATCTGTCTATCCTGGGATAGACTCCAGATCCACTGCACCATGATCATAATCATGATAAAGAGAAATGAATGAATGTTAGATTGTTGATTAATGTAAAGTGATGAAAGCCACCTTTATACTGAAATCTACTTAGATTCCATATAGTACAGATACTAAGAAATATAAACTAATATTTCCTAATGCAGTAACTAATGTTAGTAGAGGTCAGGGAAGCTAATAAAAACCACCACACGATTCTGGCCATGTCATGCACATGTTTCACACCACTAATGGGACAGTGTTCTGTGGAGAGATGATGCAAGAACGGAACTTTTTTGGTAAATCTATTGTTATTATTTTGCTTGGAGGAAACACAACACTGCACACCAACTGTGAAGCGAAGGCAAGGTTTTCTTGACCTCAATCCAGGTGAAAATCTGTTAAATCTGTCATGAGATCTGAAAACAGGCCACTTCCTAAAATATATATATGAACTGAAACATTACAGAGGAACAGACCAAAATACCTTCTAACCACTGCAATGATCTTTCAGTCTTGTTACCAATAAACATTCAGTTAGTTTTAATCAATAAATATTTCCAGTAACACTTTACATTAGCGTTCCCTTATAGCGTTAGTTAACATTAACAATCCATAAATTTGAAGATTATTAATCCATCAGTAATGTTAACAAAGTAAAATGCGTTAACTGACTTTGATACCACACTACAGTTCAGTTCTTGAATCTGATTGGTCAGAATGTGTGGATTAATTTTATATAACAGCACGGCTCAGACAGTAGTTCGACAGCTTTGCATTAATACGCACGTTCTAATACGATATCATTTCTATAGTAACAGCTCATACACAAGGACGTGTACAGCGGATGTTCCACATAATCTAATACTGATAATAAATAGATTTTTTTAAAAGGCATGGTATTGTTTAACAAAGAAAAATGTATAATTGATGAGGCGAAATTTTTTGTTATGATTTTAGCTTATGTAACAAGGAGTCTCCAGTGTCAGTGCTTTGTAAAGCTTCCCGGCATGAGAAAGTCTTTCGGACAGATGAGTTTACACATTGTGGTTTGACAAGCTTTGTTTTTTTTTTGTTTTATTAATTTCAATAGAGAACAAAGAAAGGCTGGTGAAGGAACTAACTTGTATGGTGGATGGTGCATTGCATTAACTGTAACTATATACTGTTAAAAGTGTGGCTCTGTGCAAGACACTCGAGTTCTTCCACTCCAACCTTAACACATCATGTCTTCCATATCTTTGCTTTGTGCATGCTGGAACAGGTTTGGGCCTCTTAGTTCCAGTAAAGGGAAATTGTAACGCTACAGCATACAAAGACTTTACTTTCCTATACAATTGTGTGCTTCTAACTTTGTGGCAACAGTTTGGGGAAGAACCACATACGGGTGTGATGGTCCGGGGTGCACATACTTTTGGCCAGATAGTGTATGTTTTTAGTGTATGAACTCCAAATGATTCATAGACTCATAAACACACACCTTTCTATTTTGTGGAGGAAAAGAATAAAGCAGCATGCACGATTTCCTCTGGCATGATGCAATGTTTCAGGGAGGAATGTTAATCGCTTGCTTTCTCATCCGTCACCATGATGGATCGTATTGTTTTACCAATTTAAGCCTTTATCTTTCATTAAAGTGTGACATTTATTTCGCAGTGTTCGCTTGCATACCGACGCCTTAAGTCAACAGCGAGAAAATAAAACCAACCAAATGGACGACGTTCCAATCAACACTGAGCCACGGGGGCGAGCGAAGTTGTAGTCATTTTCAGAGTTCCCCAGAGACATTCATGAAATAAATTACCAAGAACAAGCTGTGTGTCGCTGACGGAGTGGATGAGGGATCGCCCTCGGGGCAGGCTACAATACGTCTAGTGCAAAAAAAAGGAATAAAACAAATTAAATATCATTATTTTTATCCTGAGATTAACCATCTCGCTAATGTATTTTACTCAGCTCATTTATGAGTTATTTTAAATTCTGTATATCTCTCCATTTCACACCTTAATAGTGTGAAAAAATTAATTGGTATACCACCTTTCATACATAATATGCAGATGAAAATGCTTTACCAAAAAATATATATAAAACATATTTACGTATACAGAGTAAATAGCTGCCGTGTCCTTTGTTTTGTTACACATATTATACAATAGTGCATATTAATGCATATAAAAATAATGAAAGATAAATAAATAAATAAATAAATAAATAAATAATAATAATAATTATTATTATATTAAAAAAAAAATTGTTGTTGTGTTATATGTATTTATCCCTTCTCTTTTCTTTTTTTGTTTCCTTTGTTTAGATACTATAAAGTACAAGTTTGAAAGAAATGCTTATATATATATACGTGTGTGTGTGTGTGTGTATGTGTATGTGTGTGTATAAGCAGTAAAAATCACTCTATTATATTTATATATTATTACATTCATATATATATATATATATATATATATATATATATATATATATATATATATATATATATATATATATATTTAAAATTAATAACAATAATAATCTAGTGAATTTTATTTTTTGACTACTTTTTAAATATATACTTTTTTGTATTTTTTACTGTATAATAGATTCAAAGATATCTACGACTGTGTAGTTTTATCTGATCAGCAGTGTTTCGACTCGACTTCATCCCCAAGGCGCTTCCCATCTTCTCCTTCTTCTTTTTTTTTTTTGAATCTCTTTTATAGCCATGAAAGTGTGACTCACAAATACACTTATCTAATCTCAGAGCGATGTTGAAAAAAAAAACCACAGCGATTCCTTTGTTTCCCATCACTGGGTTGCTTGGAAGTCCTTCGCTTAAAAGGATTCAAAAGCTAAGTTCTGGATTCAGATAGCAGACTCTGAGTTATATCAGCAACCGAAATCAATTTGAGCTGCCCCAATTTGGCAAGCTGTCAGCAGCTCGTAGGCGGCTGCAGGAACTAAAATCCACTAATTCAGAATCGGTTTGGTACATTTTAGGGCGGAGGGTGGAGGCGTAAAGTGGAGAGATAGAGCGAGAGTGAGGAGAGAGAGAGAGAGAGAGAGATAACAAAAGTCAGCCAATAGGAAACTAACACAAAAATAAGAGGTAGCAGCAGGAGTGAGATTAAGCTACACACTTTATTGATGCCAACTTCAGGCAGCACACAGAATTTTATAAATATGTTCACTAATAATAAGTCTGCGGTGGAAAAAAAAACCCCACAATAAATGGCAGACGGGGCACTTCAGGGCAGTCGCTATGACAGCTCCATTAGTGCAAATGACAGAGTGCGCTACTCCCTGAAAATACCTGGGAAAAAGGAAATAACATCAACAGCAATGATCACTGAACTGAACAACTCCTCTCCAGCAATCTGCTGCACTCCACAAGCACTAAGACTGGCCTTCATTCTAACAGCACTAGAGACACAAAATAACTGTGCAAATTGATCATCAAAATATTTACGGCATAATAACGACTATTACCACACTGAGCTGGGGAATTCTCGATTTATGTTATACATTAGCGTTCCTATAGTAACAGCTCGTTCATAGGGAATTGTACGGCTGATGCTAAATGGATTAAAAAATTGGTGAAGTTTTCTGTAAGGAGGTGTTTATGTAACATGTATGGAAGGAGTCTCCAGTGTCAGCGCTTTGTACCAGTCAAATGTAAAGCTGTAACTTCAAGTTTTCTGATATCTTCAAGACAGACGAGTTGCAATACAGTTAACGCTTACAGCTTTTCTTGGGACTTCTTTTTATATCCTACATATAAAATCACATACAATGTGCATTATGGGTATTTTGTAACTTCTAAGGTACATCCTTTATACACTATTGCTGCAGGATAGCTGTAGGAATCTGATAGGAACCTGTAGGAATCTGATGGAAACCTGCAAAAATCTGATGAAACGTGTAGGAATCTAATGGAAACCTTCAGGAATCCAAGGGAAACCTGTTGGAATCTGATAGAAACCTGCAAAAATCTGATGAAACGTGTAGGAATCTTATGGAAACATGTAGGAATCTGATGGAAACCTGTTGGAATCTGACAGGAATTTGCAGGAATCTAATGGAAACCTTCAGGAATCCAAGGGAAACCTGTTGGAATCTGATGGAGACCTGTCGGAATCTGATGGAAGCCTTCAGGAATTTGATGGAAACCTGTAGGCGTCTGATGGAAACCTGTGGGAATCCAGCAGAAACCTGCAGGAATCTAATGGAAACCTCCAAAAATCTGATGAACCATGTAGGAATCTGATGGAAACCTGTTGGAACCTGACAGAAATTTGCAGGACTCTAATTGAAACCTGCAGGAATCTGATGGAAACCTTCAGGAATTTGATGGAACCCTGTTGGAATCTGATGGAAACCTGCAGGAATCTGATGGAAAGCTTCAGGAATCTGATGGAAAACTGTTGGAATCTGATAGAAACC